GCCTTTCAGATTTGTAATATGTGCATATGTTTTTAATTTTTGAAAAAAAACTTTAAAAGACACAACCAGGCTGGGTGTGGTGGCTCACACCTGTAATCCTACCACTCTGGGAGGCCAAGGTGGGAGGATTACTTGAGGTTAGGAGTTCGAGACCAGTCTGAGCAAGAATAAGATTTCGTTTCTAACTTAAAAATAAATAAATAAATAACACAACCAACTCTAATTTACTTTAAAAGAACCACAAGGCCAGGTGCAGTGGCTCACTCCTGTCATCCCAGCACCTTGGGAGGCTGAGGCAAGAGGATCACTTGAGTCCAGGAGTTCGAGACTAGCCTGGGCAACACAGCGAGACCCCCTTCTCTGCAAAAAATTTTAAAAATTAACCATGACATTCATCTGTAGTCCCAGCTACTCAGGAGGCTGAGGCAGGAGGATCACTTGAGCCCAGGAATTTGAGGCTGCAGTGAGCTATGACGATGTCACTGCACTCCAGCCTGGGCAACAGAGTGAGACTCTGTCTCTAAAAAAGAAAAAGTGAAAAAGAACCACAAGCTGTCTTTCCCACCAGAGCTGCAGCAAAGGGATTGATCCAGATCCCAAGACAGCCTAAGAGAACCGGCGGCTCGTTCAAATCGTGCATTGGGCAACTGGGTTTTGTAAACCCTAAGTGGAGTCTGTGGTTGGCCCTACATGTAGGTGCAAAGAAGGAACACTGCACTTCTAGGTCTACACTGCACTTCTAGGTCTACACTGGACCTCTGGGCCTGGTGAGTGAAAATTCCTGATCTTTAGCCCAAATGGAGGGCTGAAAATGCCCCATTCCAAACACGGCTTAGAACTGTTACTGGCGAGAGTGTGGGTCGCCCCAACTGCGAGCCCCGAGGCCGGGGCTGCTCTCATGCACTCTCACCTCCAGCACGGTGTCTGCACCTGGGGCCTGCCCAGTAAATGCCTGTGCAGTGAATAAGCGAATGCTCGTAGCTAACGTTCCCAGACCCCTTATGGAATCCCCCATGTGGAATGAAGAGACGGGGTGGGGGGCACGGGGCCTCACCTGCACCCAGGCCCGAGGCTCCAGAGCCCACGTCCTCCCGGAGCCTGGCAGACCGTCTGGCCCAGGCAGGGCGCCGGGGTTCACACGCCCGTAAGGGATGTTTCTTCGGCCGACAGGCACCAGGCAGTGAGGACACCGCAGCAGGCGGGGCAGCTGGGGTCTCTGCCGCGCGGGGCCGACGCTGGACGAGGGCTCTCTGGACAATGGGGCAGATCCCACGTGCATGGACGTGAGCCTGCACGCCCTGCCGGCGCCAGGCCAGAGTGGATCCCCCCAATAATTAACTCTCCTCCAACTGCCAAAGGGATTTTCCAACAGACTGGTCACTCCCGAGCCTAAAACCCGCCTGGAGAGCTTGTAAGATCCCACTGCCCGGGCTGCACCCACACCAGTTAAATCAGACTGCCCAGGGGTGGGAGCCAGACATCAGCATTTTTTTTTAAAGATCCCCAAGTGACGCCCAAGTGTGCAAGGTTTGGGAGCTACACCCGTATCAGTGCTCTCAGCCATGGCTACACCCCACGCCTAGAGACGGATTCAGTCTGTTTATAGATGCACGAAAATACATATTCTCTGCCCCGTCTTTACGTACCGAAGACGGCAGCGTGAGTCTCAGCACGTGCGTTCCCCTCACGAGTGGCATGGCTACGGGGCGCCCGCGCGGGTGGGCACCGGGGTGTCTCCAATCTTTGGGAACCTGCTTGAGTCAGCCTCTGCTCACTCAAGCAAAGCTGCGGGTGTGGGGAGTGCTGGCTGCCTTCGTCTCCTCCCATTGAGGCCACTAACCCCGTCTGTGGGCCAAACCCGCCCCGTGTCCCATGTCCCAGCTCAAGAACCAAATGGGACTCTGGAAGAGCCTGGCCAGAATTCTCCCTGGGTGAGCATCAGTGGGGCCCCTGAGCTCCCCTCTTCATAAATCACAGGACCCCAAGGGGACACATCTTTCTCCCTGCCATCACGAAGCTGCTTTGGGAGACCCCCCTGAAAAGAGGAAGCTCAATCCAGAAACAGAGACAGGAACAAAAAAAAAAAATGCTGGTTGGACAGAAAACCCCAAAGGCACTGGAAATAGTAACTCACCTGCCCCCCCCCACCCCCAATCACAAGGCGTGTCCTCCAGCGGCTCCGCCATGCTGCGGAAGGCCCGGCAGAGCAGGTGCCCCTCCCCTCGCTTCCCCTCTACCAGCTGCTCCTCTCTCCATCCCGAGAACCACCTGCTTCGTCTCTCTAGGGTTTCCGCAAGGACTGTTCCCTCTGCCTGGGATGTTTTTCTCCTCCAGCAACCAACTATTCACGCCCATCAGGGCTCACCATGAAATGGCACTGCCTCGGGGAAGCCCTCCCTGACTGCACGTAGGCGATAACCTTCCGTTCACCCTCCTGGATCTCTGTACTCCCTCCTCCTTGTGCTTTCTCAGTGGACTCCAGCTTTCTCAGAGAATCCTTCCCTGCCCCTTGTGGTGTGCTCTGAGCATTTATCACAGGTTCCCACAGACAGCCCCAGTGCCCATGAGCACGGGCCACCCCATCTAGAGGTCTGATTTGCTACGTGTTCATTGTCTGGCAGTGCCATGGCATCAAGGGCCTCGAGTGTCTCACTGCCTGCGGTGTCCCCAGCCCTGGGCAGTGCCTGGCACACACAGGGGCTCCAGCTGTTGAATGACGCCAGCCCCACTTCACTGGGAAACCCAGGACGCCCCAGGCCCGGGGCTGGCTGGGCTGAGACTCCCGCTCCTTCACTTAAAATCCAAGAGAGACGTGGAAGCCGGGCTGGTAGAGAAGGACCTGCTGCCAGGCCTGTTCCCGAGCCAGGCTGCCCCTTTCCAGCTCATTCATTCGCCAACCTGGAAGCAGCTTCAGCTCAGGGATCTGCTGATGAATTAAGCTTTAAGTAGAAGCTGCGTGTGACTCGGCGCTGGTGCAGTTTCTGTTGCTTTTGGTAAATAAACTTCAGCAAGTGCGTTAAGTGGGTTTCCTGCCACGTGGAGCTACTGGGAGTCTGGGCTCTCGCGGACGTCCCTTACCAATAAATACGAGCCAGCCCGAGTCTGAGTTAAACAGAGCCCCGAGGGAGAAAATGAAATTGACACACGCAGTTTCTCTTGAAGACTGTCCCTAATAGAGACAAAATGAAGCCGGGCTCTGGCCACTGGGCACAATGACATCTCACTGCTATGTGTAAGGGAGAGAAGGAAAAAGAAACACACTCAGGATGCTAAAAACCCGTGAAAAATAGTAGACAGCGTGAATGCCTGGCCCCATGTCCCTGGGATGCCAGACCAAGGTGCACTTGGGGGTTGAGCCTCCCCCAGGACCCAGCCTGGCAAAAGACAGCAGCTCTGGGTCACTCACAAATGGTCCATCGATTACAGTACATCCACACAAAGTCATTTCTTCTGCGAGTGCCTCAGTTTGCTGAGCTATAAAATCCATATAACACCATCCTAGTCACTGGGTCACTGCCATGATGCAGCGACATAACCAATGAACATGGCTCGACACTCTGCCAGCACATAGTATGTGCTCAGAAAATAGGAGCGATTATTGGGATACCAGGAAGCCCAAGAATGATGCAGACCTACGAGCTCCAGTGAGGAAGCTGCTAGCCTCGTGTGACTATTGAGCACCTGAGATGTGGCTGGACCCAACTGAGAGGTGCTGAAAATTCAGTATTAAAAGCTTTATTTTAAAATCTGCTATCCCTTTGTATGCCCATGCAGCAACCAAGGCAAAGGACAATGAAAGGGGAAAAAAAAAAAAACAAAACCCTGATTTTGAAAGCAGCACAAAGAACAGAATGAAAATTTCATTAATCTTTCAAATAATAATTACATGTTGAAATGATATTTTGGATATAGACTGTTATTTTAAATATCTTGATAGTTTCACCTGTTTCTTTTTCACGTGGCTCCTAGAACACTAAAAAATTACACAGGTGGCTCACATTTGTGGCTCCAGTTACATTTCTATTGGACAGTTCTTATGGGTCCGTTCTGACATGGAAATAAGTCCATGTGGTTTTTACGACTGAGATATAATTCACAAACCCTACGATCCACCCGTCTAAAGCGTATGAGTCAGCAGTTTTCAGGACATTCACAAAGTTGTGCAGCCATCCCCACCAGTTCCTGGCCATGTCCATCACCCTGAAAAGCAGCCCCACAGCGGCCCGTCAGCAGTCGCTACCCATCTGTTCACGCTATTTTGAGTAAAGAAAAGCAAGTTGCAGGACAGGTATTATGGCATCGAGTGGGGCCTTGTAAAAACTCATATAGACACACAGGTATTTGCATTTGCAAATGCAATCTTTAAATGTCTACACTGATTTAACCAAACTGCTAATGCTGGTTTTCTTTGAGAGCTGGAATTGGGGTGGGAGAGAAAAGAGGGATGCTCACCTACTACGTTAAATACTTCTGTGCTGCTTCTGTGATTTAAAAAGAGAATGGTTGGGTTTCTGAATAAGTCCCGGTGAACTTGGGTAAATAACTTTTTCGCAGCACCGCCCGCAGACTGCCTTCAGCTGGAAGGTCGAGTCTCAGACCTACTTTCATTTTATCCTCTTAAAGCAGAAACTGCAGACAGAGACACGGTGCTTGCCCTCCTGGCCGCAGGGGGACCGGGCCTCGGGCCCAGCTCGGGGAGGGGGGGACCGGGCCGGGCCGGCGAGGCCGGGCAGGGGGACCGGGCCGGGCTTCCCCAGGGCCAGCCTGGCAGACGGCGGCAGCTCCGAGCGCGCTCGGCCGGCGGAGGCTGGGGCCGGGCGGGGACGGGAGGCGGGTCTGGGCCCGAGGACCGGTGTCGCCCCGAGGAGGACCAGGCGCGACCTGGGAGTGGGGGCCCCGGGGCCCCGCTGCCAGCGCCCGAGGATGCTGCGGGCAGCCCGGCGTCCCGGCGCGGGTGCGGGGCCGCGACCTCCAGCACGGCCCCTCCTGCCCGTCCCTACCTCGGCCCGGGGCTCGGGGGTCAGGGAGGCGGCGAGCTCGCGCGCCCCGCTGCGCACCGGCTCCGGCCGGTCGGCGTCCACCAGCAGCATCGGGAGGGCGGCGGGCCGGCTGGCGGAGGCGGCCCGGGAAGCGGTCGCCGCGCGGCTGGGGCCCGCCCGGCCCGCCGCACGCCCGAGGCCCGCCTGGCGGAGGCGGGCAGGTGCGCGCCGGCGGCCGCCGCGCGGGGCTCCGGAGCGCGGGCCGAGCGGGCAGCGCACCCGGTGGCGAGCGGCGCGCGCTGCAGCGCCCGCGCCACCCGGCCGCCCCGCGGCGGGCACGCTGCCCTGCAGACTGCGGTCACCTGGGCTCCTTTCAAACTTCCCGAGCCCGGGACTCGCGCAGTCTCTGCGTGGGGCGGGACCGGGGCCTCGGGATCTTCTGAAGCTTCCCAGGTGGTTCCTGGAACCAAATTTGAGACCCTTTCCACGGGAATCCCGATGGAGCGCTGGTTCCCGGGAGTTTTCGAAAGCCCAGAAAGCCGCCTCACACCTGGCCGCTTAAGTCAGAGCCCCTGGGGGTGGGACTTGAGCATCCGTCGTTGTTTAAAGCTCCCCGGGTGATTTCAAAGGGCATCCAGGATAGAGAGCTGCTGTCCTGGGGCGCCTGGCACTTAGAGCCCAAAGCCCCCCTGCCGGCCCCCCAGGCCCATCCTACTCAAGCATCTATTTTATGCCAGACAGGTCTTGAAAGTTAGGGAAGCCGGGGCGCAGTGGTTCGTTCTCCTCTTCCTTCCTCCTCGGGACAGCTTTTATAAAGCTCTCTCCGGAAATTCTCAAGTGCACTAAATTTGACAACTGCCCCTCCCCGCCCCCCCGGGGGCCCCGCACCCCGCCGTCTTCCGAACCTTGCCTAGACCCCTTAGAGGGCCCGGGCTGAAGCGGGCGTGGCGGGGGGGCACCCCCCCAGCAGCGCTAATGAGGAAAGTGCTGAAAGGTAAATAGGTATAGGGAAGTCTAGAGTTTTGATTTTTCGTTTTTATGACTTTTCTTTAAACATTAAATTTGTTTTTTTTTAATGGGCTGGTTTGGGGGTTGCAAATATTATAAATACACGAGATGACCCACCTCCTCCTCCTGTTAAATTCGAAACCCCAGGTAGGGGGGTCTAAACACATACTTGATCTGCCTTTGGGGTAATCCATCAATGTACAATTCCCGCTTACAAATCTGCCCGCCGCTAATTTTTCCGTATCCAGATATTCAGGCCTTCAAAGTCCTCTTCTGGGAAGTTCTTGGCAAAGCCTTGGGCCTCAGGTGCTTGGGAAAAGGGTTTTATAGGAATTTCCTGCGGCTGCACTTGGTCATTCGTCATTGTCCTGATTTCCCCATGCTGCGAGCCTTCCACGCATCACTCGCCCGCAGGGGAACCAACCTCAGACCCTCGCCCCTGCTGCGGGCTGGGCACCTCCCCCAGGGAAGCGCGGACCCGGCCTCAGATCGCCCAAATAGACTTGCCCACAACAGACTCCCCTGGTGGCTGCATCTCAAAAGCATCGCGCTGAGGGGGAAAGATGCGCTGCAGAAGGCTCTGTAGGGCACGCTGCCATTACAGTTTTTAAAACATGCAGAACCGCACTATATATTGTTTATGGATACAGACAGATGGAGTGGGAGTGCAAAGCTGTGCACGGGAGCGATGCCCCCACGTGCCGGAGCGCGGCTCCTGGGAGGGGGATGACATGGGACAGGGGCAGGAGAAGGGTTGGGACATTTGCAATGCTTTATTTCTTCAGCTGATGCTTGTTATAATATTTTAATTTTTGAATGCCTGAAATGACTCCTTAAAAAACAAAAAGTCTGGGATATTAACTAAAAGCGTTCACTGCCCGCATCCCCTTCCAGGGGAGGGGGGCTAAAGAAGGGGTCTCCGCGTTCCCCATACGCATCCCAGCCACGAGTTCGTACCCCGGGCCAAGTGAGCTAGCCAACAGTCATTTTGTGCCTAGCCTTTTTTTTTTTCCTGAATGTGTGATTGTGCCTTAAAAACATTTTGCTGAAAATACAGATGCCCCGAGCGCTAGCCCAGACGTTGGGAACCGGGCTCTCCAGGAGAGCAGAGCTGGGCATCCGCACTTGGACGAGGCCTGCGGTTGGCTCGGACAGGCACACCCAGGTCTGAGGATAACCCCTGTCCCGGCCCACCGCGCCACTGGCATTGGCCAGGGACCCCTGTGGGAGGCCAAATAAGTGGTTTTAAGCAAAGAGGACTGGATTTTTAAAAGTCTGTCCCCAGCCTCTCAGGGGTGCTTGTCTCCTGCCCCAGGGCCCTGCCCTCGGGGGTCCCGCAGCCCTCGGGGAGGCCCCAGGCCAGGCGGCCAGCCTGAGGCCTGGAATGCAGCCTGCCCAGGCCGCACCCTGCCCAAACCAGTTTGAACCAGCTCTCGGATGGAGCCGTGGCGCGTTCCCACGAGCTCCCTCTGGCGCCCAAGCCGGGCTCGGAGCTGCCGCCGCCGCCTCCTCCCGCTCTGGAGGCATCCCGGGTGCAGGAGGCGGCCCCATCCAGGCGTGGGGGTGTCTGAGGTTGCAGGCCAGGGAGGCCCCAGGAGCCCTGCCCCACCTGGGCCCCAGGTCACACGCCCTTCTCCCCGCACCTTATCTGCTCCACCTCTGGCCGCAGCGCGGTTGCCTGGCCTTGTCTTTTCAGAGTCAGTTCTCCCAGCTCAGGCCTCAGGCACACAAGGTTCTAGACCAGAGGAGGTCCCCAAACTTAGCTGCTCATTGCAAACTCCTGGGAAACTTCCAGAAAATACCGATGCCCAGACCCCACCCCAGAGATTGTGACTTAATTGGTCTGGAGTGTGGCCTCAGCTTTGAGAGTTTTAAAGGATCCTCCGGGTGATTCCAATCTGCACTGTCCCAGCGCTGGCTTAACCTTCTGGGCCTGGGTGATCGTACAGCCGCTGTTTCTAGGTCTCTTGGTCTCTGCGACAGTACTCGTTGCTAACGTGTCCTGAGCGCTTGCTATGTGCCAGGCACTGTTCCAAGCTCTTTTCATAGATGGCCTCATTGACTCTCCACCACACCCTGCGAGGTAGGTAGGTCCTGCTATGATTCCCATTTTACAGAAGAAGAAACTGAGGCCAGGAGAGGTTAAGTCACTCACCCAGGACCCTAACTGGTGAATGGGAGAGGCAGGATTTGAGCTCAGAGACTCTGATTCCAGAACCCAAGTTCTTACCTGCCCCGAATCCCACACTGCCTCCTGCAAGGTGACCCTGCCCTGGGATCCTGTCGCCGGCTTCCCTGGTCCAAGCCTACTGGGAAAGCCCTGGGGTTGGGCCTGCCCTGCCGCCCCACCTGTTCCACTACCGTCCTAAAATGCCCGCCAGTCATCTCCCTTCAGAGCACAGTGTCGCACAGCGTCAGGGGTGCTTGCTGCCCACGTCCACACCCGAGAGTGTGTCTCCTCCCCCCTCCCCCCGTACCCTGTAGGCAGGTTTGGTTTGGATGCTGCAGTGCTCAGATCCACGTACCTTTTCATATGGTAGCCTTTTATAGTTCACATGCACATCCAGGTGTGTGGCTTCCCTTGAAAAGAAAGGAAGGATCTGGAAGCCGTGGGCTTGCATTGTGGCAAGGCAACGTGGATGGCCAGTTAAGGAGCTGCCCAAGTTAGCCACAGACTTCCCCACCTGGCCCCAGTCTCTCACTGGCATCTTGGCCCCTAAAGGTGTCTGGGTTTGTGACTCTGGGTCCCCTGAATGTGCCATGTCTGCTGGCCACGTATATGGCCAGCCTTTCCTATCTGGAATGCCCTAGGCCGCCCACTTAGCTGGCCACCCCGCCCCACCCTCTCCCTGGCCTTGAGGCCCCTCGCCAGAAGCCCTTTTCCTGTCCCCCAAACAGACATGCCCTTTTTGGTGGCCCTCTGAGGCTGTCTTCCTTCTGCTCCCTTGTTAAGTTCACCACCAGACAGAAAGTTCCAGGAGCCCAGCAGCTGGCCTTGGCACATTATAAGTCCTCAATAAACATGTATATCAAAATGGGAAGTTGCCGTCCGTCCCACTTAGTGACTGTTTCCTGCTCCCTGGCCCCCGGTGAGATACTTTCAAATACAACCCATCTTCATAGAAGCACAGCGAAAAACCAGGTTCTAAACACATTTCACGTGCCACTTTGAGATTCTCACTACCCAGAAACGAGAGACAGCGACGGCAGCTGCCCGTCCTCTCCCAGCAGTAGGGAAAGCTGCTAATTCCCGGAGGTAATTTGGTGGGTTTTCGCCATTCCTTTCCTTCCCACAGTAGAGCCTCATGAAGGCTCTTGCTGCTTTGGAGGCCAGAGGCCAAGGGTCAAGGTCCAAAGGGCTCCTAAGGGGCAATGTGTGGCTTTACTGCAGAGCTTCCCTGGTCGTGAGAAGCGAGAGGGGGGTCACTCTCGGGGTTGGAGGAAAGAGGGATTTTTTCTCCTTCCAGCTACGGAGATTGTGCCCCTGTATTTCGTCTTTGCCTCTGTCTAGATGGTAAGTGGGTGGACAATACTGCCCAGTGCGGGAGGTCAGAGGTGACAGGCCTTTGGTTCCTGAGGTGAGCTTCCTTGCTCTCTGTGAATTCTCACCCACTGCCCTCGGCCACCCCCCCATCCACAGCCGCCGGCGCCGGCGGGCTCGAGTGGGAATCCGGGTGTGAGATCTCGAGTGCGGGCACGCACCGCATGTGAGGCCGGCGCTCGGTGGCCGGGGCAGCGCGCTCGTGCCGCGCCACCCTACGTCTCAGCGAAGCGCGTGAATATTCTCGCGAAATGAGCCACACAGAGCCCTCAAGTAACCTCCTGTCAGCTCAGCTCGGTGAATTTCTGCGGAACCGATGGGGAAGAAAGCTAATGGTTTTGGCATTTCCTGATTTCAAAATTACAAACAAGGGATTGTAGACTTGTCCAACCCCACAGTAGGAGAAACCGAGGCTCGGGAAGACTGAGGGTGGGGCCCCGGCCCACACAGGCAGCTGTTCTGTGGGGAAGGGGCTCTTTGGATTATAGCACATTGAAATGGATGAGAACATGCTGGAAAATTGTTACATGCCCTAGTAAAACCAGTATTCTTTAAACTATTAGCGGCTATTTGCATATCTTTGTTTTCTTGTTTCAGGAACTTGTATTTCTGTTCATTAAGATTCAAAGGACCTTTTCTGTCTTTGGAATGCAAAGCATG